ACTTGCAAATGCACGCAGGGAAGTGATCAAAAACCAAGCCCACAAACGCGACATTCCGGAAATAATCTGACTCCCACCTAAGCCATCTTGCAAACAATTGCCTCAAATAACGGTAGATACGATCTTTGTAAGGGAGTCTTCCTGAATTACACTTCCAGGTTGGGGGGAACAAACGAAAGACCCGTACTAGCATCGGAAACTCAAATATGGGAGCGCACGCGATGCTTGCATAACACTTACCCTCAAACTGTAAATCCTAAATGCTGAGCCGTGAAACCTCATTCCCAAACCTAATCCACTGACCCAAAACCCAAGCCCTGAACACTAATCCCAAACCTTACTCACAAAACAACTAGAATATGCCTTAGACTGTAAACCCTAAACCCAAACAAACAGGTTAGACCTCCAGGTGCTGCAATTTTGCAACGCATGTCATCGAGCAACGACCACGCCGGGCCAATGGAGGTATGGCACGAAGGTGTTTGGAAGCTCTTTGGGGCTTTGAACCCTAAACCACTTAGCCCTAAACCCCCTAAACCCCGCTACAACAATACGTCTCGCCGGGTCTGCGAAAGGCTCGATTCTAGGCAAGTCAGAAGAATACTGAGAATTTCCATACCAAATGCATGTAGGGAAGCCCAAAAGCAATTTTTTTTCAGGTCGTATGCTCAAGGGCAACACCTTTAGGGAACCCTGGGCATGGATGCTCTGGTGACCGTATGCTCTTGGAACACGAACGGAATTTCGATTTGGGCATGGATGCTCTGGTGACCGTACGCTCTTGGATGCTTTTGGAGCACGAGCGCAATTGTGGCTTGGGCATGGATGCTGCAGGGCGCCTTATGCTCTTGGAACACGAATGGAAATATGGTTTGGGCATGGATGCTCTGATGCTCCTGGAACACGAACGCGCTTACGGTTTGGGCATGGATGCTGCGGGGCCTCGTATGCTCTTGGAACACAAACGGAATTATGGCATGGGCATGGATGCTGCGGGGCCCCGTATGCTCTTGGAACACGAACGGAAAATGGTTTGGGCATGCTGCGGGGCCCAAGGACGGACAAAGTGGGAAGACCGCAAGCGAGGCATGCCGCGGGACCACATTGAGATGAGAGCAGGCTGCAGGCTGCAGATGTGGAGCGTGCGGCCGCGTGAGAGTCGTGAGCGCTTCTCAAGAAGAATTGTAGAAGTCTGCGCGTGTCGTGGCACATCTGACCATGCTCAATACTCGGCGAGACAGCTGGTTGCAAGGCTAAGCCCTAAACACCTAAACCCTTAACCTAAGCCGCGCATAGGGACTCATTGAGGTAGGCAAGCCGACTCTGGCCAACAAAGCGGCCCGTTACCAACATTGCACGAATGAAGTCTGCGCTTCCTTCCCTGAGCTGCTTGACCCGCTGCCGGTAAACAGAGCACTTTACGCCAGCGTTGCACGTTGCGGGGACGCCAGCACGGCGGGGCACTGATCGACCAGCGACGGGTGAAGAACTACGTCGCCTCGGATAGGCGTCCCGAAGGCCTCGGCCGGCTGCTCCTGGCAACTGGGTGCAGCTCCTTGTCCGGAATGCCATCTGCACCGCCTCCTCTTACATGCTCAACGCATAGTCTCTTGATGAGTGTCTTCCGGAGTTTACGGGCGGATGCTCTCGGCCTGAACCCTGGCCTCTGGCATGAGGCCTTTGGGAAGCCACCCTACGTCTCGCTGGGTTTGCGAAAAAGTTCGATTCTAGGCAAGTCACAAAAATACTGAAAAATTTCCATACGAAATGCATCTAGGGGAGCCCAAAAGAAAGATGTTTTCCCCCGGTCGTTTTCTTTCTGAAAAAAGACCCAACATAAAACCGCTTCCCTGTTGGCCTCGTGGTAGAGGTCGATAGCAGTTGTTGCCTCAGTCGAGCAGATCTCAGGAAGATGAATTAGGGTTGGCTTACTCACACTGTGGGCCTCCTAGTACTGGCGGTCGACTTCCGACAACTCCTGGTTCAGCTTCTGAACGCGTGCCAGACCTTGGTTTGCATAATAACAAGTACACTCGCAGGAGAATCAACACGAATTCCAGCGCACGTCTGTCTTCAGCGCTGGTGGAAGATGGAAGGCCGCATTGCAACCGCCTTCCCATTCAAGGCTCGTAGTGCACTTTGGGCACGTAAACGGGAGTGCCTGTCGTCTTGGTGAGGAGATTGCTTACTGTGGCAGTCGGGTAATAGACCTCCAGTTCTGTTAAGCCTGAGATCTGAATGGAATTTGCGACTTTTGTTCTTGCGTTAGTTCTACGACCTTGAGACAAACCATATGTCAGACCCTAGTGGAATCAGTGTTGAGGTTGACGCTGAACATGCAGCTGTCGAGAGTGTCGCCTGAAGATTATTTGTAGATATATACCCCTGCGTTGCAGCCCATAAGGGAAATTTGGAGAAGTTCACCTTAGACACTGCCTCTGCCGCTGACACGACGCGTTGGCTTTGCAGGCACGATGCGTACGCGAGCGTCGCCGGGGAGGGCCTGAGCATCATGGCTTCTTTTCTAATACGCGCATCAAGTCTGAGTTCAAAGCGGCGCTTGTCACATGAGCCAGCGGGCAACGTCTGGCTGATTATTTGCGGGCCCGTCGAAGGTGTCTTTGTTGTGTTTGACTATCAACTCCACCTTTTGCTGTCGAAGGGCCCCGACCATGCCACGATGACGCCGAAGCAGGGCCAGCAGTCCGTGCCGTCTTTTTGCCTGCGTCAGGAGACGTAAACAGCTCTCGCTTCATTCTGGCAGCAGAGGGCTTTGGCCGAGTTCTTGGGCGCCGCCTGCAGGTTCGTCGGTGCTGCCACTTAGAATCTTCTGGTTTTCCCCTGAGTCACACACCCCTCCTCGTTCAGCAGGGAGGGCACTGGGCGGGAAAGCCCTGGTATTTTTCACAACAGAAGCCTAGCGCAATACTGCTATGCCCGCTTGCGACCAAACTCATAGAGCTCGGAAGGCTCCACTTTCACCTACGCACGGGCAACTGCTAATTGCCATGACATATCTCTGCAAGCGTCCTGCTGCCTTCCAGTGCGTGCTGAGCACGCTGCTCACCCCCTCCCGGCGTGTCGAACCATAAATTTGAAATCTTGCTGAGCGCGGTCTCTTACTCCTTGGCTCGCCGAGCTGCCTGTCGTTCTTGCTGAGCCTCATGAGACATGGCCGCTGGCCGTACAGCCTAGTCAGCTGTGGGTCAGAGCTGGCCTTCGTGCTGGACCAGTCATCGAGTCAACGAAACAGGGCCTCTTGCAAGTTCCTGTCATCCTCTTCCTACACATCAATGAGGGCACTGGCGCTCGAAACCTGAGGTTTGCTTGCCTAGTCTCGTGCCAATGTCGCAGCTGTATGCGCCCGGGCTGCAGCCTTGTAGGATGTTCGTGACAAAGTCTCAACTTTCGCATTCGGACATTTTAGCCCGTCTGGCCTGAGTCCACCCTTTTTTGGCCATTCTCTTCAACTTTTTTTCATCCTTCCTGGAAGTCCCGCAGAGGGCCAATGAGGTTTCTGCGGCCCTCAATTGGGTTTTGCTGGCTCGGAGCTCGGAATTTGGCATTTACAGTGGGCTAGAAGGGGTTTCGGGCTTACCTAGGCGTCCGGTATCTTGGGCTTTCCTAAGGTTCATGTTCTGGTTGAGAAGGGGTACTAATTAAAGCCCAGAAACTTGGAGGTTCCACCTGGAGAGGTAGAATGGTTGAGGTGTTGGAGCTCCTGGCTTTGGATTTGGAATTCAGGGTTCATGAGTCTGTTTAGGGCCTGGGGTTTAAGCGTTCGGCATTAGATCCTGAAGCTCCTTGAAATTCAGTTTAAGACGCAGGGTCTGAAAATGGGTGGCTTTAGACAAGATCTAGGATTCAAGAGTTAGCTTGAGTCTGAAAATCCAGCTGTATGGAGATGGGCCGAGATACTGTACCCAGAGTTTTATGGCTCAAGTTTGAGGCGTGGAGTTTAGAGTTTAGAGTTTAGGGCTTCAGGCTTCAGGTTTAGCGCTTAGGGTTAAATACCACATCTACATCCCAACTAAGTGGCCTAAATCCCAGGAAACGCCAGGGTCTCGATATCTTAGGTGGAGCAAACGTTCTTGCATCAACATCAGAGTGCACATTGCATGATATCATGATTCTGCATACAAGTTTGGATATCGATTTAAACATGTGCTTGCTTCGGATATACTATACTCCTCAGATCCCATCAGGATTCTTCAGCGGCTCCTTACAGTTCCAGGGTTCAGAGATTAGGGCCTAGGGTTTACGGTCTTAGGCCTCTGCAGAGCGAAATCGGGCGTTGCATTGACAGCCTCTTGGAGGCTGATGATCTGGCGCTTGCCGCTCTAAGCGGGAAATGGGGGAAGGCACCTGGGATAATGGAAAAAGAAATGGAAACTACTACAATTGGGTTATATAGGGGTCATATAGGGGTTACCTACATTATATGTTGGAGAAAGCTTCTTGGAGGCTCATGGGAAGCTGAACGCCAGTCTTGAAGTGCCCCAAAGAAGGTACATCGATTGCCACCGCAAGAAGAACCAACCCAGGCCCGTGATTAATGAACCCCGTCCTCCCCTTTAAGGCCTTTTAAAGGAGGGCGTTTATTAATCAGGGGTCTGCATTATCCCTGTCACGCGCGGCCATATGTCGGACTATCGGATTGATGTTCAGGTTTCGAGATGAACCCAAAAGTCCTAAACTCTAAACCTTTAACCCTATTCATGGTTGCAGGGCTACAGGGCTACATAAGCTTTAATGGTTTAACGGAAAAATTGGAGGGCTCCAGCGACCCATTCCACCCTTCGGAAAAAAGTGCGCTTTTTTTTAGCAGTGCTAGACTGGGGACCCATAAGAAACTCTTTGGGTTGGGATGAACTGAACCCTGAACCCTGAAGCCTAAGCCCTAAACCCTAAATCCTAAGCCCTAAACCCTAATTACACCGTAAATCCTACACCCTAAACCCTTAACCCTTAACCCTAAACCCTCAACTCTTAAGCTAGGCCTTGGCTGCCTTCACAGGTCCCATGCCGCAGATGCGGCAGATGGTCACAAAGTCCGGGTAGTCCTCCGATGTTTGAAGACATGTTGGGTATATATCTATAAGGAGAATATATATATATGTATATATATAGATGTATATGTATATGTATATATGTATGTGTATATATATATATAGGGTTTAGGGTTTAGAGTTTAGGGTTTAGGGGATCAGGGTTTGTGCAACTGGGCGACCATGGCCCAAAGGCTCTGAGCCAAAGGTTCCGACCCAAAGGCTCCAATTTGCACTGGCAACCAACAAATCTCAGTTTAGGGGTTTAGGGGTTTAGGGTTTAGGGGTTTAGGGTTTAGGGTTTAGGGTTGAAAATCTGGCACTGTTACCCGCTCCACTACTTGGAGGGTTCAGGACTACTACATAAATATTTGGAGGTGTTTAGGAATTAGTGTTTAGGGTTTAAGGTCTTAGGGTTGAGGGGACTTAGCAACTGGGAAGGAATGCGGAAAACTGGGGTTACTACTTACAGGGGTTGCTGGGTAAGTCCCCTGCCGCTCCAAGCAAACCCCCATCACAGGATACCAAACATTCCCGACATGGAGTTAATTCTGACTGATGCCGTAAATTAAGGCAGAAGCGAGTTCTCTATGATGAGGTTCTTGACGAAGCTAGTTTTAGAGCTAGGCCGTACCTTGGGAATCTAGGGAACCTTCCTAAACCCTAACCCTGGTTGGGTTCACGGTGATTGGAATGCTTGCCCGAACACAAATGGGGTTCCTATATGTCTTATAGGGAGTATAAGTATACTTACATAAGGCCTCCTGAGCCTTCAAGCAAGGCTAGTTCTGAAGGATCTCAAACTGTTCTTGGGCACTCCCCCACGCAGTTTAGGGTTAAGGGTACAGTTGAGGCTCAGTCTCCAACCGGCAAGAGTGGCTAAAAAGGACAATACAGATCCAAATATACATTGTCCCTCATAGTCCCTGATAATCAGTGGGGGCCTAACCTAATCCAAACCCTCGACCCTCGACCCATAGACCCTTAAGCCCTCAACCCTAGAACCTGATCAAAGAAGGTCTAGGGTTTAGGGTGTTGTAATTTAGTTGTAAGTAGCCAAGGACCTCCAAGTGACGATCTGATAGCTACAACCCAGTTGCGCCAAGGCGCCACGAAGCCCTGCTGTTGTTGATCTGCCTCCTTGATCATGTCCTGATAGGGGTTAAGGGTTTAGTGTTTAGGGATCAAACGCGTGCTGGCTTCGGGTTTAGGATCTAGAGCTTAGGCAAAGACGAGTCGAATCAAACAATAAATGCAAGATGAACTCAAAACTGAGGGTTGTAGAGAGATGTTGGACCCAGGGTCAACTTGCGGCTTGTAGCTAGAGAGTGAGGGAACCGAAAAGAAATGGAAGCTACGATAGGGTCTTTATGGTAAGGATTGTAGTGTTTGGGGCTCTGCATTTGGAGCTCATTTTGAAGTCTACCATAATCGTCTAAGCACACAGTACTTGGGGTCCTGCTGGTGTTGTTGTACCAACTGTAGGGGCCCCTGAGGAATCGCCATACCCCCTTTCTTGATGCCTAACGAACACCTTCAAAATCACCTTATCGTTGCCCTACGCGCCCTCAACTGTGTAATCCCTACATACCCACAAAGCCCTAAACCCGAAATACCCTAAACCCTGAACCCCGCATCTGGCCCTAAACCCAAAACCCCTTAGAGCATCCTCCACTGCCGTATCCGACAACGTCAGGCCGATACTCCTCATCGAGGCCTGGAGGACAGGGGTGGGCTGTGGACGAACGTTTTGGTATATCACCTAAAATGTCTAGGTTTTAGGGTTTAGGGTTTAGGGTTTAGGGTTCAGGGTTTAGGGTTTCGGGTCCATTAGAAAGGGCTACAAAGTTAGAGTTCAGAGCTATACAAGAGGGCTGCTATAGGTGTTAGAGGATGTAGGGGGTTTAGGCTTAAGGTATTGTGGGTTGAGTGCAAAAGAACATGGAAGCTACAAGAGTATTGTTACTCTGAACCCTAAGCCGCGGATTCAAGTCTTAAAGTTCAGGGTCTATAGCCCGGGGTTCTGAGATTGAGGGCTTAGGAATTATGGTCAGGGTTTAGGGTTTAGGAATTATGGTTTCGGAGTTCAAGGTTTAGGGTTTCTACGACTTAAGGTATGCAGGCGTGGGGTTTTGGATTTTGGGCTTCGGGTTTGGTCAGGCGGAGAGCCCGCGTATTCGCCTTCCCCGATGAATAGACCATCGCCCGGATGGATGCGACCAGCTTCTGGGAACCGGTGGATGACGTCACTAACGAGTAGTAGGAGGTCTCATGAAGGCTCGCTGCAAGGCAGAAAGCCACAAAGTATCGGGCCAGTAAGCAGATGATGCCAGTCGCGATAAGGCACCCTGGCATACGACACCGTGACGGCCTCTGAAGTGAAGAGGGTGGCGAAAACAGAGAGGGCGCTCACGTCAGTGGGTGACAGAAGGACATCGTAAAGTTCAGAAATGTGTGCACGGGCCTCATTGGCGGTTGAACCTGAGAAAGCCAGTACGATAAAGAGCAGCATAACAATGCGTGTCTTTGACGGGCTAGCTGAACCAAGGATCACAGGCTTGGGGATTAGAGGCTCTTGGGCCAGGGAAAGGCTGGAAACCCGCAATTTGCTCTTTAGTGTCTAGGTTCCCCAGTAACCTCTTAAGAATAAGGGCAGCCTTCTTCCCAATGCTCAGCTTTAATTAATAAGGAGACCCCAAAATAGAAAGCAAAAAAAAGTACTACTGGGGTACTCGGGTGTTCGATGTAGCAACACGGTGATCATTCCTATGAGCTGTTGGGACGCCTCGTATGGTGCATGGAGTTGATGGGTAAAATTCGGCACGACCCTACATACCTGGGGGTTTCCCGAAATTAGGGGTACCTTATGGGGGTTCCCCATAATAAGGACTATTGTGTTGGGGGTCTCCTTTGGGGTATCCCTATTTGGGGAAACTACCACCTATGCTCGAGAAGTCAAGTTACCGCGGAATACCTGCAGCCACTCAAACCCTAAACCCTGAACCCTAAACCCTAAACAGATTCTACATCAATAGCTCTAAACCCTGAAGCCCTAAACCTAAACTCCAAGCTCCGAGGGAACTAAGCGCTCGGACTAGGCGCTAAACCCAAACCTCAACTCTCAACCCGAAGTCCTGAGACGTAGCGCCAAAGGGATTGAAAACCGTCTTTGTCAGAGCCTTGCAGCTCTATGCCCTGACTTCCAGAACTGTAACCAGTCTCAGACCTAGGGCCTGACCTAAACCCTAAACCCTAAGCTCTGGAATTTTCGCCTACCTGAAACGTCAAAGACCGTCTTAAATCCTAGGAGCCTATCATTTACTTCATTAAATGAAACCCTCTTTGGGGTCTAAGGTAAACCTTTGAACCCCAACCTCAAGTTTTGAAGCCTGGATACTCAAAAATTCAAAAATGTTTTCTTGGAATAGTGATCAACAGGAAACTGTGTAAACGCAGACGTGGGGTTCACCCTGAACCTTAAACCGGTGTACGGCCAACATCTCAGAATTTGTGCGCAGTCAGTCGAGCCTCCCTACTGGAGGCGCCGGCAATGGTGTAGTGACCTAAATTTAAATCCCTAAACCCTTACGCTTAAAAGCTAAACCCTAAACCCTAAATAATATAGTACTTTCCACTTTTCTCTTCCATTATCCCTATATAACCTCTATACCCCCTCCATCCTGAACCATGAAGCCCCTTTAAGCTGCTTAGGGTTTAGGATTTAGGGTTTAACCCTAAACCCTAAACCCCTAAACCCCTAAACCCCTAAACCCTAAACCCTAAACCCCTAGGGTTTAGGGTACCTGGAGCTGCTTCGCGGTGAGGTGTCCCGTGCCCTCGGCATCGAAGGTGCGGAACGTGGCCTCGACGGCCTCCAGGGAAGAAGGGGCTTAAGGGTATGTGGGGTTTAGGGTTTAGGGTTTAGGGGTTAGGGAAGGAAATCTACTGTAGGGATATGAAAGGATACATAGGCATCTACAGGAATAATGGAAACGAACATGGAAACTGCTAGAAATGCAGTATATATTGGGGTTATGTGGGGATATTGGTCCCGGATTTGGGGTTCAGAGTTGCGTGTTTGGGCCTTAGGCTTGAAAATGTAAGCTTTAACGGCACTGGAATCTCCAGTGATCATTTATCACTAGTGGACTTGGGGGATGGTCTGAACCTCAAATCCCAAACCGCGCCCCTCGCCGTCGATGTACCTCGCCAAACAAGAGCCAACAAATGTTACACTAAGCCTAAACCCTAAGACCATGAATTTGAAAATCTCAGCCCTCAATTAATACGGATAGTCTGCCAGACCCCGCCTTAGGGCTCACTCGCGGTAGACCCCCGAAGACCCTAACCCTACCCTACCCCAGAACATCATACCCTAAACCCTAAAACTCCCTGCCATATGGCCCCAGTCAAAAGCACACCAATGTTTCATGGGGTCCTTTTTGAGGTTTCACACTAGGCACTACCTCAACCCGTGAACCCGCAACCGGTTTAGGGTTTTGGATTTTGGGACCTAGGGTTTAGGGTTGTCCCCCCCAAACCCCCTGCGCCGCTCCTCTTCAAAGGTGATCTGGGAATGCTGCTTTTCCAGGCTCTTCATGATTGCCGTTTTGACCTACTGAACTTCGACTTGAGGGTTTGGGGTTTAGGGTTCAGGAATGGATAGGGATACCTAAAGGGATTCTACTGCACGGGAAAGATGGGGATTCCTGACTAGGGACAAAAAGTTGAGGTTGGTTGACCCTGAGTACCGTATACCTTGGAAATTGTGGTGTCATAGTCTGCTGAGGTCATGCAGGATGTTTGGTATCAGAAGCTGTAAAGTTAAAGAGCTTCTTGAGTGTTGTGTGGTGGTACCTCCAAGCAAACCTCGGTTTCAATCTGCAATGGGTGCAGGTATACATAAAACAGTGGAAATATTCTTCTCAACAACAATTCAGACTTTGCCAGCTGTCGGAAGGGCTTGCAAGCCTTGATGTCGCTCTCTTACACGTCTTCAGACGCACCAGGAAACAGAAACCCTGAGCCCCGAAGGCCTAAACCCTAAACTAAACCCTTAAGTGATACCTCACTGTCTTTTCGTCCATGACTGGGTTCAACTAGCTGTCTGCGTGGAACCCTAAACCCTACAAACCTAGGATTTCACATGATTTCACTATGAACGCATTTGAGAAATTAGGACCTCAGGCTTGCTTTTTGTTTTTCTCGGGGATCATTTGGGCCTGCGTGAAGAGGATCCCAGTTTGGGTTCGTATTGGGGCCCCTTTCGTCGAGAGATGGCCATGTACGGGGCGACTAGGTACTGAAACTGCACACATTTGGGGTCTAGGGTTTAGGGGTAAAGGCACCTTCTTGCAGCTTACAGGCCCTGAACATGCACTGTTTGACTATTTCGCTAGTGACATACAATCCCCTTACCATAAAACTAAAGCCACTCACGTATCAAATGAGCTCTAGTCTAAACTCACGAGCTGCTTCATATACTTGAAATGCTCCATAGTTATTAGGGCATGAGCGGCTTTATGTATTCGGGAGAGGGATTACACTAGAGGGCCAGTCACACCAGCATCCCTCCCAATGCCAACCTCCAAGTACCCCGAAAAAACAGGAGCCAAACAAAGGGAAATAATTAGTAGTGGGTTGGGGGGCCAAAAAGGGGATACTGCTACTGATTCTTCACGCTCCTCCATTACACCCAAGGGCTCAAGACAAGGACAGCGAATCCCCTAAGAATTCAACCTGCACCTGTGGCCTCTTTAGTATGAAAACAAGATGTCTTTTATGGTAGAAGAAAGGTTTGGGCAGACCTCCCAAAAGAGTCTCTGTTTCTGCCAGAGCTGAACTGCATCATTGAACCATAAACCCTAAACCCTGAACCCTCAACCTAAACTGGGATGGCTTCGGAACGTGCACCTCGAACTGTAGTTAAGCCAGACACCCAACACCTTAGACCCCTGGCATACTCCCAACACCCTACGTCCAAAATCCTCAGCCCTAGACCCTCAATACTAAACCCTAAATCCTAGACAATAATCTTGAATCCTAAACCTGGAATCCGCATCCCTCACCAGCCCAACGACCACTATAATCCTATATAGCCCCCACATAATCCCTCTACGGTCCTTACATAATCCCTGGAAAATCCCTAACTAATCCCCATACATTCCCGATATACTCCCTGAACCCTAAACCCTAAAGCCCAAACCCAGAAAAGCTAACCCCTACTTTCCCAAGTGGTAGTTTCCCAAAATAGGGGGACCCTCATGTAGACCCCAATATGCTATAATCCTTAGTAGAGGACCCTCAAAAAGGTACCCCTAATGTTAGGACCCTAAACCCTAAGCCCGAAACCCTAAAACCTAAACCCTGTATCCTGGGTGTCCCCACTCTTGCCCAGGAGGCTGCCGCGGAGAGATCCTTGACACCCTGCATGTGGAGCTTGGCCTGGCGTTTAGGGTTTAGGGTTTAGGGTTTAGGGCTTGGGGCTTGGGGTGTTTGGTTTAGACTTTAAGGTTTTGGGGGTTTGGGGTTGAGGGTTTGAGGTTCAGGGATATAGGGAATATATAAGGAACATGTAAATATGCACACACACACATATATATATATACATATGGATTATGTAAGGTTTCAGGACTTCAGGTATACGCATAAGTTTTAGGGTGCAAGGCTTGGGGCTTAGGGTTCTCAGGGTTTTAGGGGTGAGGGTTTAGGATTCGGGGCCTTTTTAGGGTTTAGGCTTTACGGCCTGGGGCTAGGGCCTCATAAACGTTACTTGATAGAGGGGAAACAGATAGAAAAGAAACGGAATACCAACATCGAAGCTGGGCTAATCTTGGGGCTTATTGGGATCGAACGAGTAGTGCATGTGGAGCTTGGCCTGCAAAAAAACTGAAGAGAGTGTGCTGGAATTCAGGGTTTAGGGTTTAGGGCATGGGGTTTGGGAAATGAATGTTGAGGAAATTAGGGGTTGGGGTATAGGGCTTAGGGTTTGGCAATCTTTTTTTGGGCCAAATTTAGGATTCAGGGCTAAGGGTGGTTTTGTATTTAGGGTTTAGAGTTTGGGGTGCCAGGGCGAAGTTTGGGATTTAGCGTTTGGGTTTTAAGGTTTTCATGTACGGGGCCGAGGGCTTAGATTTGGGGTGGGGGTTTGGGGGTATTGAAGTCAAGTCCTCGTGAAGCCCTAAAATGTTAAACTCCAAACTGCAAACGTAAATCATAGACCCCTGAGCCCTAATGCTGGGAATCTGGAGCTAATTTTTTTGGGGGGCTAGGGCTTGGGTGTTGGGGTTGAGGGCTTGAGGGGGCACGGCCAATCAGTACTATGTTCTTGCTGGCTATCCTATGCGACTGCTGCTAATCAGAGGGGAAGAATTAGCAACTAGCTATCAATTCTTCAGGCTTCTACATGAACTACAGCTGCGAGAATCATGGCTGTAACTTCGGCGGCTCCACATCTGAAACCCTAAGCCATAAACCCTAAAACCTAAACCCCAAGCCCTAGGCCCTACACCCTAACCCTAAACCCTAATCCCGAAAAAAAACTCTGAAAAGCCGGAAAAGAGTTGACTACAAACGCTCAAGCCGCCTCATCCCTGTGCAGTCATTACACATAAGCTAAAAACTCGCCAGAGATCCACGCGAAGATACTGAACCTGAAACGCTCCTGAAATCCTGACCTCTATTGAACAATCTCTCTGCTTTGGACCTCTGTTGCCGCGACGTTGTAGAGGACATGGTAGGTGACCTTCGCGGTTTCTCCAAATCACGGGCTCTTTCAGGGAGTGGGCGCGTCAGGAGAGTCCTTGAAGGTTAGGTACCTGCTCCCCCTCATATGACATGAACGTGGTGAAATGGCAGGTGCCGGGCTGTGGGGCTGGGGCTGTGCTTGGCTGTGCGTGGCTGTGCGTGGCTGTGCGTGGCTGTGCTGGTGTGCCGCGGGTGTGCCGCATGTGTGCCGTTGGCGTGTTGTGCCGCAGGTGTGCCGCGCCCAGTGCATTGCAGGAGAGCCTGTGCCGCGGGTGCGCTGAAGAAGTATTACCGCAGGTGTGCCGCGGTAGTGCTGCGGGTGTGCCGCTGGTGCATTGCGCTTGGGATGCAGGTGTGCTGCAGGCGTGCCGCGGGTGTGCCACGAGAACTCAGGCTCCCTTAATCCACCCTGGAGTACGACCTGAAACCCATGACCATGCTAAACCCTGCGTGTTTTGCGCACAGAGTACCCCCAAGCTTGCGCTATTACTGCAGTCTTTTCCGCTATTACTACTTTGTTTCCGCAATGACTGAACATGCTTTTGCAGGTGAGGACAGAGCTTTACCTACTTGAGAAGGGTGGATGGATACCTGTAGTCCTGTAGTAATACCTACACCGTCCCTTTGAATCGCCAGGTGCTTCTGAAAAGGGAGCCATGGCGCGGACGGCTCCATGTGTGTGAGAATGCGTCAACCCATGAGTCAGAGATCTCCACATTTGAGTAGCTTTTTTTGGTGGTTGAACCTAGCAAGATTATATTCCTTATATAAATATTATACCCCCCGAAGGAGGATATAATCTTACTCTATTTTGGGTACCATAGTCTCCCCCAAAAAAATACTACTCATTTGGGAAAGGGTGCGCTGGGTGAGTCCCATGAATTTTGAGCGGCGGTGAGGATGCGAGAGGCCCACCGGCCGGTCTGCTTGCCTCGTGAGGGCACCCAGTACTATTTGTTGAGGTAGCAGACCTCACCACTCCTTCTTTATCCTAGCAAAGGCGGTTTAGGGTTTAGGTTTAGGGTTTAGGGTTCCCCTAATATCAAACCCCCCCGCCCCCTAGTATTAAATTCTCCCCAATTGTGGAATATGATTACATATTGGGAGTAGTTAATATTAGGGCAGATTGGGGGGTTAAATATGAAGGACTGGGTTGGCCCCTAAAACCCTTTGAAAAATATTAGTATATAGGGTCCCTTATTAAAGCCAATAGGGAAAATATCAAACATCCCAGGGGCCTACCACCCAGCGGAAGGGGATGACAATTCAAGCGCTGAGATCATCATAGCCTCCTCTCTGCGGGTAGATTCGTCAGATCCATCAGCATGACCAGATGCTTGCAGTTGTGGGTTTAGGGTTATAGGGTCCCTACCTAATCCCGCAAAAAGAGGCCATTTACCCAGTCCTCCAGTCCCAAGTCGGCAGGAGTAAGGCGGCGGATTTCCCACGTAGACAGCGTCCCTACACTTACACCGTGAACTCTTCAACCCCAGCCCTCCACCCCCCCCAAAAAAAAACTAAACCCAGAGCTCCAAACCCTGGGCCAAAACCCATTCTAAATCCCTAAGCCTTAAGCCCTAAGCCCCTCAAGTAAAGCCTTTCAATGCCACGGCAGGCGCCAGAGTCTCAGGATACCCTAGGCCAAATGCAGGTTCCCAAAAGCAGGAGTCCCCTTGTAACATTTGGAGGCCGCTAGCACAAGGATCAGAACAGCTTAAGCCCTAAACCCCAAAAGCTTGGTTTGGGAAATAGATCTGGGAATCTGATTCCAGGTATATCCAACCGCCACTCTGAAACAGAGCCGTACAGCGCAGCAGAACAAATCCTCAATCCTTCGGATTTAGGAATTAGGAATTAGGATTTAGTGTT